GTGCACTTCAATTCGGTGTCGTCGCGGCCGGCGCGGAAGTTGGCGGGTGGGTGGTCCGTGTTCACGCGTGGGCGGGGCTGGCGTGCTGCTGCGATTGGTCCCTGCGTCGAATCTCTGCTGGTGCCGCTGCTGCTGGTGCCACTGCTGCTGTTGCCGCTGCTGCTGCTGCTGCTGCTGCTGCTGCTGCTGCTGCTGCTGCTGCTGCTGCTGCCGTTGCTGCTGCTGCTGCTGCTGCTGCTGCCGCTGCTGCTGCTGCTGCTGTCGCCGCCGCCGCCGCCGCTGCTGCTGCTGCTGCTGCTGCTGCTGCTGCTGCTGCTGCATCACTGCACGTGACGATCCGCCCAAGCCACTGGTTGCCGCCGCCGCCGCGGCCATGCACCCCGACGCTTAGCCTCTGATCTCGCCCGGCGCGCCTCCCCCGCGGCCGCGCCCGCAGGCAAGAAGTCCCGCCTGGCCGCCGGCGCCGCGCAGGGCGTCGCCGCGGCCGGCGCCGCGGCGGCGCCAGGGGCCGTGCTGTGGCTGCGCCAGGACCTGAGGATCCACGACAACCCCGCCCTCTGCGAGGCGGCGCGCGTAGCTGCCGCGCAGGTGCGCGGCGCCCGCCCGCGCGCCGGCCCCTTGCCGCCGGCCGGGCGCCTCGAACCGCACATGCATAGGGTCCCACACCCTCCCGGATGCTGACGAGGCCTCTGCCGAGAATCGCGGCGCCCCTCCCCCCCTCATGTCCCGCCAGGGCGGCACCCTCACCCTCGTCTACATCCACTCGCCCGAGGAGGACGGCGCCGACCCCTCGGCTGCCAGCGGCGGCTCCAGCTGGCGTCCCGGCGCGGCCAGCCGCTTCTGGCTGCGCTGCGCGCTCGAGGCGCTGTCTGCAGACCTGGTGTCGCGCTATGGGAGGGGGGCAGAGGTGGTGTTCAAGCGCGGGCCCTACCAGCGGGCGCTGGAGGAGGTGCGTGGCGGCCGCCCCGCCGCCTCGGCCTATGCGTGGGGGGGGGGGGGCGCGAGATGGCGCGCGGGCGCGCCAGGCGGCGGGGCTGCCTCTGCTTGAGGCTCGCGTGAGGTGCGGCCTGTGCAGCGGGCAATGCTGTGCGTCCAATAGAGGACGGCACCTGCAGCGGCCGTGATTGCTCCGGGAAGACTGAGTCAGGCGTTGAAGTCAAGATGAGCAGACAAGCCTGAAAGCGCAACCATCGCCCGTCACACCCGTTCCTGTGGCACTCGGCCACCCCCCCACAGGTGGCGTCGGCCGCGCGTGCGTCCCGCGTGTTTTTCGGGCGCCGCTACGAGCCGGCGGCGGCGGCGGCGGATGCGCGCGTTGCGGAGGGACTGGCGGCGGCGGGCTTTGAGGTGGGGCACACGGGCTGGGCAGCGCAGTGTGGCGTCGGGGCAGGACAGCGGTCCAGCGAACCGCGTTTGTGATCAGCTGGGCTTGCAATCATGTTTTCTTGCGTGCTGTCGTTCAAGTATGGCGCTATCGCTGACGAGGCAAAGGGTGACGGTTGCTTCCCCGCTTGCGTGCAGAGTAAGGTGCGTTTGCGTGCCGTCGCATGCGCACCCACTTGCTTGCATCCACTTGCATGCACCTGCCTGTATGTGCTTGCACCCCTCGACTGAGCCGCCATTCCACCAACACTCCAAGCCCCTGTCTGCGAGGGGGCGCCTCCAATACCCTCTGCGGCCGGCCCTGACCGCCCCCCCCCCCCC